ACTATGATACATAGTACAGGAAGGGAGGAACAATGTTACCAATAGGAACATCAATGGACCTTAGGAAGGAAGAAGATACTTACCGTGGCTTGGAATTTGCTCAGGGCGTTAGAGCCCCTAACTTATGAAATGTTTAGTGGGAACTTCCCTGATTACAGTTGGTCAAGGAACTTGTTTTATAGCTAATTACAAAGATCGCTCCATCAGCAGCACAGCACTTCCAGCATGATGTTGAGCCATGGCTCATTGATTAAGAGTATGTCTTGACTGGAGCTGGCCGTGTAATTACCCCTAATAGGTTTGATCAAGCTACAGTGCTAAAAAATAGAAGTGTAGCAGCAGCAGTGCAAACAGCAGGATGGGCTAGCTGCCAGGAGTAGGATACCATCTGAAACCCTAGGTAAGTACTTGTGGGGGACTAGCCTCTCCTGCCATTTGCATTGCTGCAGCAACACTTCTATTTTTAGTGCACTAGCTCAGAGCTAGTACAGGTACAGTATGTCTATTGGAGCTGGAAATTACAGCTCCAAGGTAGATGTACCCTAAGAAAGAAGAGAGTCACCTACTCTATCACTATTGTTTTCTGAAGATATCATTTCCCCTATGCTCTCCTCAGTCATGACCACCAGCCTTCTTCAAGGTCCTCTCTTACTTTTGTTGCCCAGTCTTCTACCAGTCTAACCAGCCTCTCTTCCTTCAATTCTTTCCTTAAAACACCTTTCTCCCAGAAGGCTGAGCTATCTTATACATCCATCCTTCCTCAAAGAAGAGTCACTACAACAAAGTCAGGCACTAAATTGCCCATTTCACCACTCTACCACTTCACTGCTAGATACATGCCATTCCCTCTACCGTATGCCAATCAGCTTAGATTGTAGGCTCTTTGGACAAGGACCACATCTTCTCAGCTGTCCATACAGACCCTAATACATTGCTGATGTTATACGAATGATAAATGACAGTGTTACTGACTCTTGCAGTATTTCTTGTTTTTCTTAAAGCACAAGGTCCTGAAATCAAAGGATTACATAAGAATTGCAGTGCCATTAAAAAAACAACTAAGTACCCATCTCTCAAAGTTGTAGAGCAAAGCTTGAAAATGTAAACCTGTGTGTACCCAAAAGGTTCAACTCACTCCCCTCCCCTGCAAACCCCCCCCAAAAGCAAAGAAAAAGAACCCAGAGTTTAAAATTAAAAACAAAACAAAACATGTTTTGAAGTCAGTCTTATGATTGTGTGGCCTGACTCATATTTGAATGCTTGAGATAGGCAATACTGACAGTGTCATTATACTGCTGACGGAGCCTAAATCTGCTTAGCCTACAGGATCCAAGAAGTGGTTGGCACTAGGCCTTACTGTAAGGATCACAATTTGAAATTGTAAATTAGATGCTACTTGGCTGCTGTGAAAGTCAATAGGCATTAACCAGGAGTTCATTTATGTCTCTGGATGGCTCATAATTGTCACAGAACAAAATTAAGGTATCAGATGGAACTACTACAAGCAATAAATTAGTAACAGCAGTTTCAAATTTGATTTTTCAGGAACCAGGCCAGTGAATTGTTGTCAGTTGCCCAACTTAGGCTTTCTCCTGGCTGAAGGGGACAGGAAAAAAGTCTCATTTTGACAGTTCAGTGGAGGGGTTGGTTAGTCTGCCACAAAATATTTTGAGACGTTGCTTGAGTGCAGGGTTGGGAAGGGAAAAGAGTCCACAAGAATCTCTTCCCACAAAACAGTCCACAGAACAAAGGAGCGTGAGCTTCCATTTTAATTTCATGCTAGTTTCCATTACCCAGTTTAGTAAGGATGTTTGAGGTGGAAGCAAATGCATATGTTCATATTTAATTATGGTAAATACTTCTTTGTACTTGTACACTGCTTTTAATTCCAGCACCCCAAATAGACAATTAGGCTTCTGAACATGCCCATAAAGTAACAAGCATTAAGTACTAACCCTCTTTTACAGCCTCTTTGTGGCTACTTTCCAAGGTAACTACATTAGGTAAAATGGCATCAATGTAATAAATAACCATAGCAAGTTGCACCAACACAAGAACTGCTTTACATCAGTACAATTAGCAGTTTGCACTGCTGTAACCACACTGAAGCAATTATACTGCTGCAAAAGTCTCTAATGGAGACAAGGCCTTACTTAGCATCATACAGTAACTCAAGTGAGAAACTGTGAAAGAATTTAGATCTCTTGACTCCGCCTTTTGTGTTTTAACTATTAGGCCTAATCTTCTCTTGAGTATATTTTCTTACTTTTTAAAAACACCTGTACAAAAAAAGAGTTTAACAACTGAAATTGCCATAGCTGAAAATGGGAAATTTCAGAAATTCTTTGTTCAGTTTTCTGTTAATTTAAAAAAATCTACAGCTGTCAGCAACAAGATAAAGATATTTAGTGGTTCATCAAGTATTGCTGAACTTAATAAAGGACCCAAGAGAATAGTCAGCACTAAATGAACAGCACATCTTGAAGTCACCTATTTCTATAGAAACAGCCTGTTTAAAGGCAGTATTTTTATAACTCCCTTTTATTTTTTTAAAAGAAAGAAAAGTCTCAGAACTTGTTTAGTCACCCACGTATTGATTACCTAAACAAAAAAAGAGCTCAACTCCTAAAAACATTGGTTTTTTGTTTTGTTTTGTTTTTTGAATGAGCAGCGTTATATTTTAGGCTAGATTTCAAGTTGTAAATCAGACAGTGATGCATTGGTTACATGGAAACTTCACTCAGCAAATACAAGATTTTAACTGAATTGTTCACATATAGGTTTTCACATCTAATAATTTAGTTAAGTGAGGGTATACAATACTTCCAAGTAGTACAGAAACATCACACATTCACAGACAGGTAAAATATTTACCACATACACAAATGCCGGGCTCTTAACGCCTACGATTCAAAGTTTAGGGCCAAATACGACCACATTTTAGCTCCCTACTGCAGATTTCTGGAATCTGGTTTTATCGTGGTTTATTCAAGGGACAGAACAAGCTGGCAAAGCAGGTGGCAATGTGCAACACCAAGGGGAGTGTTCCCCACGAACTTTGGGAAACTGCTGTAATACAAAATACAGCATTTCAGTACTGTACAACAACAGACAGAACACCTAAGTGTTTGGGACCAGTGACCAATGAAGCATAGAATGAGGGTTTGGGTTCCCCTCCCCCGCATTTTCTTGTCTCCCTCCAGCCTTCCAATCTGTGAGACTGATGCCTTTGAACGTTCCTTGACAATGGAACAAAATGCATAGTGGTGATAAGAAGTCCCTCAAGAAAGTAAATCTAATTGTTAGAGCAGAGAATTGAGAGTCATGATCCCAAGGTTCCATTCTCCAATCTGCAAGAAAATCCTGTTGCAAAGTTGCTTATGTTGTTTAGAGGAAAATCTTAGCCATTTGGTTCATACCAAATTCAAATTCCAAGAGATGAAAAGCAATCCTCAACATGAGTAAACTTGGTATCAGAAAGTTAATCAAAACTGCAGCTTTCCCTGATGGATACAAATGGTAGGTATTTCTCTAAGGTCTTGAATACCAGTCATTGCTAGCAAGCAAATATGAGACAAGGTTACAGCATCTTGGACACATGCTGTTAGCCTAGATGGCATGAGGTTCTGGTTGTGGCATGACAGCAAAGCTCTACTATATGGATCACAAGCAGCAGTAATGAAGCCATAAAGTTTCTTTTAAAACACATACACAAACCTTGTAAAGAAAAAGTGCATTTGCCTTAATTTTCTGGAAGTACTGATCAGTTGAGTAAAGGAAGATTTACATCTGAACACATATTCATGACAGTCTATAGATTCTTTTTAAGAAGGGCCACAAAGACACATTATCCAAACTCTTGTACTTGAATTCCCCATGCACACAGAAAGCTAGAGAAGCAAAATATCAAGAACATTAGTCCTCTGTCAAAATTTCTTTTCTCTTTTCAAATTGATGCTATTTTGACATGATTAAAAACACTTTTGGATCATGTCTTCATTTTCAACTTGACATCAAGTCCTGTCCTGCCATGCCCTGTCAACAAAAGAAAAAGACTAAGCATCTAGACCTGAAATTTCATATTTGGATATCTGAATTGCAAAACCAGTCTTATATCAAAATTACACTATGAAAGACCACTAAATATGGAATTGGGGAATCCTGTATTTTTTGTCTTGTTGGCATCTATATTGTTTGCTTTGTTTACAGTTGAAAAAGTAGCTTATGTTGATGCCACAGCCCAGACACTCTATCAGGAATCTGAACGTTAAGTAGGGTTATTTCTGTACTGCACATCATAATCAACAGATTCTGCTGAGAATTTCATTTAAAATTCTGTTGATGTGCAAGCCATAACAACAGAACTCATTTGGTCAATTTTATTGGCTCTGTAGGGCTAACGCTAGTCATACTAAAGCAAGCTGTGTTGGTTCAATACAATTGGTAGTCTTCCATTTTGAAAATAACTTTGGTAAAATAGTAGTAATCCTGATTTAAGTGCAAAATCTTCACCTCAAGTTGAAATATGTTGCAGACATATTGCAAACTTTGGGCACTACTAAAATGAACCAAAATTTAATACATTAAAAATATTGTTCCAAAACGTACACATTTACCACACAGTAATTTTTCAAATACCAAACTGAACTACAGAACTTCTTGTTAGAAAGAAATCCATAACAGTAGTTTTAGTGTAATCTAACAAACCACATGAAGACCAGTGCCAGCCCTTTCCAAAGCCATTAAGTAGCAATATTCATTGGAGATTACAACCTGGAAAAAGGTGGTTTAAATGCTCACACTGAATAGGCCAATAATTGATTGGAAAAAAAGTTTTATTAAAAAAAATTCCCCTTCTACCTCAAACAAATTAATTTTTAAGTTCTGTACTATGAGATTATGTTTCAAAAATGAAGATAGTACAGTATTAATTTCTGAAGACTGTATACATTGTAAAATATCCCAGAATTCCACACAAACTTAGACTGTGCAAACAGATATAGCAAGTATTTCAGATGTCGTTTATTTGGTCCATGAGATGTACAGTATAGTAATAGTATTTGAGTTTTACAAAACAGCAAATATAAATAACCTGAAACTGTAACAATACACAAAATTTGCTTCTTACATTGACATACCAGGCAGTACGTGCTGAAAAACTTGAGTAAATTAACATTGTTTTACAGTAATGTACACAGTGCCAGCTGATGTTTAAGATCAGAGAGTTTAAACATAGCACTTCTTATTTCTGTTTTTAAAGAATCTGCTATCTCAAATTAGTTGAGGGTGTGAAAAATGGTTAGATCTAGGCTAAAAATATTTTTTGTCTAGCGAAAATAAAAATCTAATATTTATAAATCTGGGTTTCAAATGATGACCCTTTACTAAACGAGTAGTTTTTTGTCCTAATGAATTATATCTAAACATATTTACATAAAAATAACATGCTTTGTTTTCATGACTGTTTAAGCAAATACTTATGTTTAAGTATTTATAAACTAAGTTTCTACTACATTTAATATAGGATATTGGAAAACTTCTAAGATTCTATTGAAACGAGTGCTTTATCATCAAGAGGAATGGACACAAATTCTGTAAGCCAGTGGTGTGATTCTCCCTGGGAACAAAGGCCATAAAAATAGTCTAGTTCTGGACATTTAACACACCCCAAAGTAATATCTTATTGTATTACATTATCTATATCGTTCTATCGTTGCACTCAGTCTAGTGCTATTATGTCATCTTGCTCTTCTGTCTGGTCTGTACGCATTCTCTTTGTACTGACATGCTCTCTATCTTCTAGTTTTCTCTTGCGGTTTTTATTTTCCATACCATCATCAGTATTGCTCGAAGGACCTTCATCATCAGAGTCAACAATCAATACATCATCTTGATCTGGAGCTAAAAAAAAATAATCAATTGGTATACTCTAAAAACTGACTATTTCATTTAGCACAAAAATAGAAAAATGCTTTCAATGCAAAAATGCACTGATTGTTTTTTGATAAGCCATTCCCACCCTCGAACGTCTAATACTTTTTTTGTTGGGATATGGGTTAATTGGCAAGATCTTTGTGCACATGCAAAGTCAGTATGAAATGCACATATGCCCTATGTGCAGGTGTTTTAAGTCAAGAATAATTACACACTTGAGTCCCAGTCCATCTTCAACTTTTACCCTTAACGAATAACTAGAACTTCTATTAACAGTCATATTCCATAAGAGAGAAAAAGAACCAGGAATAGAGAAAAAGAATAGACGGGAAGCTGTGTTAACAAAGGGCTAACAGATGACAATGGAAGATGTAAAGAGAACAGAAAGGATACATGAGAAAAGTAGATTTACCTTTTAAGAACCCTGTTTTCTATATGAATATACTGTAGAAACTTTTTTCGAAGTATTTATAAAAATTGTCTCTATCTAAATTTGAAATAATCCTGACCATACTCTAATGCTTATTCTCACTTTAGAAAAAGTAATAAATTAAGTGGCATGGGAAAGTGATCACTTTTTTGTATATATATTTTGGGTAGAACCACGAAAGTCATATGAACTTCCCAAAAAACTATAAAACAGAATACACATATAATAATTTCTACACAAAACAAGCTTTCAGTTTCATATAATCTGTGCTTCTGTGCCACCTCTGAGTGCATAGTAGGAAGTTTCAAATATCTTAACTCAAATTTTAGAGTCCCATATCCATTTGAGTTATTTCTTAAACTATTTAGGATACCTTCAGACAGACAGACATTCTAGAACTGCAGGAGAAGGTATGGATATTTTTCTGGTTAGCAAATACTGCTTTCACCGCGCTTTGCTTAGAGTGCCTCCTTTTTCCCAGTGTGTCCTAGTGTCCAAAACACTGGACTTGGTTTTATACCCAGCCCTGGTACTGTCCTACTGGCTGACTTTGGGCAAACCACATTCCTCTCAGTGCCTCAGTTCCCCCATCTGTAAAATGGGGATAATACAACTGCTTTGAGATCTGCTGATGAAAATTTAAAAATTTAATAAAATTTAAGAGCTAGATATTATTAGTGTGTGTGTATATCTATCTATATAATTGATTTTTTTGATCAAACTACCACCAGCATCAACCAGTTCAAAAGCTGCAACACAGGAAGTATTTGCTTTGAGTGGGTTCATAAAAATAATTTTATTTATTCACCAACATACAGTATGACATGATGAGTCTATTTTACACAATCATTGCAAATGACACTCTAGTCCTTTAACTGCTCTATGCCTGCAAAATCCTTTGCCGTTAAACAACATCTTCCTTATAAGAAAAACTATTCAAGTAGTTCAGATTTTTAAAAGTTTACATTTAAGATAAAATATTAACATTTTTAATGATAATCTCAAAGGTGCATTTTTTACTATTTATATGTTATATACACATAAGATGCCTTCATAATAGGTATCTTGGTCCCCACTGCCATTTCACATTAGAAACACTGACTTAGCTTTAAGTCATCATGTAAAGGACACTTATTTTATGTTTTAATTGTAGTGCACAATCAAACAGGTAGGTTTCTAGAAAAAGGAGCTTTTAATTCAATCGCATAAGTATTCTTTACCTGTTGAAGTTGATGGCTGTGCTCCATCATCACTACCATTGGTAATGTTCTTAGAAATTGGTTCTGATGGTTTGGGGCCAACTTTTTCAGGACCATCTCCAACAACTTCAAATTCTACATCTTTTTCAAGATCTTCACTGTGGAAAAACCCATAAACTTTTAACCAAACATGTAAGCATCCACATTGATCTTTTCATAAACAAAACCACATATCTGACTCCACTACTAAGAGAGCAACATGTAATTATCACAATGATAATAAACAGAAAAGCTGTTCAAGCTCCCTCCTGACTGACATGCTTTTTGTATTCACATACACACCTTGCTTCAATGGCCTGTCTGAGAATGCCTCTTCAAATAACAACACCGCTGAGGGAAATAGTCATTTGAACTTTTTTTCCCTCTCAGTTTCCTTCAATTTAAATGCCCATTTTCTGTGTTCATCACAAATGCTGAGTGAATTAATCTATTTTATAAGAATGTAAATCATTTACTCAGCTTCCCCACCACATAATTATGTTTACCTTAGTTCTAAAAGCATTCTATACAGGTAAAAAAACAGGCCAAGATTTTCAACTGACTACTGAGTTTGAGCACCAAACATGCAACCCCTTATTCTGATCACAGGTAGTTAAGTAGTCAAGCAATCTTCCATGTAATTAGTAGTTTTTGATATGATAGTCCAGAAAGCTATAACTCTTTTCTCCTTTGAGATTCCACCAACTGTACTTATTTTGCAAATACACTGCATTCTTGTTTGTGGATCATAAAATTGTTTAATTAAACTAAGATCTCTCCAAGTTCCTTTTCTTGCAGTAAAATTGTCAATTATTTCAATCCAACAGTAAGACAAATGTTCCCAAAGTCTTCCTATGTTTTTAGTCATTTAATGTTTTAAACTTGTGTGTTTAAAATTCTCTTTAGAACAATTCCATAGAATATATATTATATATAAGAAAACAAATGTTCCAAAATCCTTACCTATGAAGCACATTGATTAACAGCGTATAGTCCTGCAGGAAATCATCTGCTTGTAGCCGAGTGCCATTCCGAATTCCAAATTCTGATAACTTCCTGTGGTTATTTGCTACGAAAATAGTGAAATATTTTACAGAATTTATTTTTACAAAAATTATGGTAAGAACTAGAATTAGTACTAGTACTTCAATGAGTAGGAGTTTGCTTTTTAAAACAAATACTTCACTGTAAGAAAACGAGACTGGTAAGGTACATTTGATTTCTTTAAATAAAATGTTACCTACATTATAAAATAATTCAAAAAGGTACAAACATACATTAAAGTTTTATAGGTAGAGTTTAAAGCATAAAGCCAGAAGATTCAGAGTCTTCTTATTCATTTTCACCGCATTTTTATATACACACTGTAACCCTTATGATCTTTCCAATACCTTGGCAAAACAGAAGCATAAAGGAACTGAGAAACATTTTGATTCCATTTCCTGATTGCTCTGCATCCAACTTAACCCTTAATATCTTTTAATATATTTGTGCATAACTTTTGGGGAGGTTTTTGTTTTATACACAGGATTACTAATAAAAAGGTTCAAACAACACTATCCTAAGCCATCTGGACTTAATGCAGTTTCAAACGAACCAGAACGCTAGTATGGACATACCTTCTGTTTCTCCCTCCTCTGAAGATATGAGAATAGTCCCTTTTCCATCATCTATCTGTACATCTGGTGCTACCATAGCAAATTTTTCTTTCACTATCTGAAAGGATAAAAATGACAAATATCCAACACTCTATTTTAAGATCAATAATTTCTTCTTCTTGAGGCATTTGCATTTAAAGCCTATTAAAAATTCATTTGATCAAATTAAATTCCTCCACCATAACTGGAATCTCAAGACCCAGTCAATACAAGAAACGTCTACAGTATGTAACTGGGGCCCTCTCTTTTAGTTTTTTTTTAAATCTAATTTTAAGATACTCAACAAGAGACAGGATGTTATAATGGATTTTATTACTTTCACTGAAAATTTACAAAATTCAAACATTCCTATACAATGACAGTATTGTATAAGCAGCTCTTTGGGGTAGGATTTAACAAGTCAGTTTTAATAATCTGAAGTATTACTAGCAATACAGTTAGGGAATTTAATTTCATTTTCTATTTAACAAAATTAATCTCTGAAACTGACATGTGTCTTTAGACTTCCCTTACAGATTTTAAAATGCAAATTAAAAAGTATATTTAATTAGTTTGTGTTCCCCTTTCTCCTCTTAGTACCATAATTGCTAACTTCAACATACCTTAATAAAAAAGGTTAAAATATCAACAGAAATTTTGTAGTACAATAAGGGTACTTAACCTCAGATTTAAATTAAAAAAAAATGCAAAGGCTAAGTAAAAAATGACATTTAAGGTTTCAGAGTCTTTACCTTATCCTGTAATGTCAACACAGTAACCTTGTGTACATTAAGTTTCACTGTCACTTCTGGTTTACTTGCACACACATAGCAACTTGGGATTTGGAGGATCCAAGGAACAAGGAACAAGTAGCTTCTTTCTTGGGTTTGGTTGTTTGTTTAGAAAAATCTTTGAGGAAGAAGAGGGCAAAAAATTAGGGTCAAATATATAATGAATAACTTAAAAACAAAAGCAAAAATGTTATCTCACTTACCGTCCTACAATGCTCTATTTTTCCTGATAAAATCTTCAAACCCTCCAGCACTATCAAACCAGCTATCACTGCATTAGTTGTAGCTATAGCAGGGATTATATTTCCTGCCATTGCTGCAAAAAATAAAAAAAAGCAGAAACAGATATTTTTTTCCAGTGCATGAATCTTTAAAAGAGTGCTAGAGAAATTTAATGAAGTCATTATTAATTTTATTCTTACACTTGATATCAAATCTGCTCTTCATATTCATACTGAAAATGTACATCCTGAGGTTTGCAGCAGAAGTAACAAAATCCATTGCAGATGGGTCATCCTGCCAACAAGTTTAACAAACATTGTAGAATACATTTTAAATTGGAAGAAATGTTTGCAAAATTCTATTACCATAAATACAGACAATTTGAGAGATCTTGTACAAAACTCAGTAATTCAAATTGATGCATTTCTTCTTTCAGATAGTATTATGTTTCAACTTTTAGGCAGTGTGGTACTTTAAACAAATATAAATACTAAGTATTTTCATTTTGTAAATGTATTTACATAATGCTTTAAATGTTCAAAGCAAGTTCTAGACACTAATCCTCACAGCATCCCTGAAAGTAGGTGAATGGCTTATCTCCAATAACAGATAGGAAAACTGAAAAAGGACAGATGAGGTGACTTGCGCAGGGCTACAAAGCAGGTCAGCAACAGAGCCAGGATTAGAATTCAGAACCTCCTAATTTCCAAATCTGTGACCATTCTTCTATCACACTGGCATCCAATGAAAAAATAAAAGTATCTTTCTCCTTCACGTCAAAGCCAAACCATGGAGTTCAGGATTCTACTTTTATCAAACAATGCCAATACGGAAAGACCCTAAAATACAGCATAAAGCATTTTCCTGTATTTGGTGTTGGATGTTTTCAACTATGAAGAAAAACAGTCTTGAACTTATGGCATTTAAGTGAAGATCCTGATGGTATGATGATGCATAGTAGCTTGCAGGATTAGCGCTTTAGTGGGATTTTTTTAAAAATGTATTAATAATATTAAGACTTTATATTACCTATTACTAATTTGACATCTTAACTGTTTTTTTTTAAATCTGTGTTTATATTTTATTATATGTTGTGTAGTTGTAGCCATGTCAGACCCATGATATTAGAGAGACAAGGTCAGTGAAGTCATATCTTTTATTTTGTCTTTTTGTATTATATTGACATTATTGGATTCACTGATAATTCAGTTTGAAATCTGACTCTTCTTCTATGTTGTTTCTATAAACAACTCTTTGTTCCAACCACATTTTTTTTCAGAAATGGCAGTACAACAATCCAGATCTTTTACTATACAAGTGTACTGCAGAAAGACTATTGTCCGGCTATGCCAAAAAGAGGACATGAGACACTGGATGTGGTTTAATTAGGCTGTAATTTATTCCTAAATGTCTGGAAGTACCGAAAAAAAGTGTACAGTGCAGGTAATTCCCAAATGAAGTACATATACCTGGGGGGTACAGGGCTGCTGTCCACATTCCCACTTTACCCATCCTGGCTCAAGGCCAACCCACTGCTATGATCTTGCCTCCTCCTCCTGAATAGGGAGTGGGGGACTATAAAAGATTTACTCCCTGTTGTACCAGTCACAAGAGTCCTGAACCCCTGCCCCTGTTTCCGCTCCTTTAAGGAGTACCTCCTTTAAGTCCCTTACCAATTTTATCTGATCACTGCATCCCTTCCCTATGGAGTACGTGCATGAGACAACTGCCCCAAGTTTACATAATGAGTTGCAACATCACAGCCTAATCCCTGCTAACTTTTTTTTGCCCCCAACCAGCTTTGGTGAAGGCAAAAAAATAAATATATCCCCCTTGGCTAGGCCAATCTGCGTGGACATAAATAGTCCCTCCTTTCTTCCAGTCACCTGGGGAGGATGGTTAACATCCCCACACTGACCTGACATGAAGCTGCCTCTGGCCTTTTCTGATAAGCCAGACAATGGCCCCCACTGCTTAAAGTGTGGCGAGGTCATTTTAAAAAGAAACTCTCCGCTGTTCATTTCTACTCAGATAGCCAGAGCTCACAGACAAGATCACATTATTTCTGATGTTCAGACAATGGCCAGATCAACTCTTCTGTTCCTCACTTTTCTTTAACAAAGTTTCATAATATATCAGATGTCTATGGTTAGAGTTTTGCACTAGCTTTACACAGTAATTGGTTCCATCCTTACACCTCTGTGTAAGGGCCTATACTGGAGAGGAATTAAATGGATATGACTAATAAATTCAGTACCTTCCATTGTTGTTTCAAGTGCTGTTGTAGCCGTGTTGGTCCCAGGATATGAGAAACACAAGGTGGGTGAGGTAATATCTTTTACTGAATCAACTTCTGTTCGTAGACTGGACAAGCTTGGTAGAAACTTGAAAGCTTGTCCCTTACACCAACAGAAGTTGGTCCAATAAAAGGTATTACCATATCTCTCTTCTGACTAACAAAGTAAAATTATTTTAAAAGCCACAACTAGAAGTGGCAAAACTGCTCCACACTGCTCTAGCAGATGTGTCAACTTTTAAAAGTGCAGTAACTCCTCACTTAACCTTGTAGTTATGTTCCTGAAAAATGCGACTTTAAGCGAAATGATGTTAAGCAAATCCAATTTCCCCATAAGAATTAATATAAATGAGTGGGTTAGGTTCCAGGGAAATTTTTTTCACCAGACAAAAGACTATATTATATACATATATACACACACACAGTAGAAGTTTTAAACAATTTAATATTGGTACACAGTGATGATGATCGTAAAGCTTGGTTGAGGTGGAGGAATCAGAGGGTGGGATATTTCCCTTACTGCTAAATGATGAACTAGCAATTAGCTGAGCCCTCAAGGGTTAACTTTCTCATTCTACAAGGCAGCAGGAATGGAGGGAGGCGGTATGTGTGAGAGAGAGAGATATGCGCATTTCCCCTTTTAAGTACACTGACTTGTTAATTAGATCAGCTTGCTGAGACCAGATGCTGCAAGCTCCCTCCTTCCTGAGCCCTGGTGTGTCCCCTCTGCTCTATGGAAGATGGGGTAAGTGGGGTGCAGGAGCAGGGGAAGGGGGACACCCTGACATTAGCCTCCCTCTTCCTTCCCTCCCCCCCCCCGCACAGCAAGCAGGAGTCTTGGGGAGCAGCTCCAAGGCAGAGGGCAAGAGCAGCACATGGCAGTGGGGAGAGGGCAGCTGCAATTGCTAGCCTGCTGGGTGGCTGCAGCACAGGGAACTTAGGGGAGGGGGAGCTGATAGAAGGGCTGCCGGTCCACCCTGGTTACAAGCCCCCACCAGCTAGCTGCAACGGGCTGCTCTTCCTGCAAGCAGTAGACAAAGCAGGCAGCTGCCAAAGACATTAGAAGGGAGCATTGAGCAACTTTAAACAAGCATGTTTCCTAATCGATCAGCAAAACAAAACAACATTAACCGGGACGACTTTAAGTGAGGAGTTACTGTAATTATTTTACTTCCAAATATTTGATTCTTCTGCTTAATGTGTGACCATGGGTAAATCCATTGCTCTTTTATATCTGCCTCCCCATTCAGGAGGGAGGGGGCAAGGCCCTAGCAGCGGGTTGGCTGTGGACCAGGATGGGTAAAGTGGACAGCAGCCCTGCACTCCCCCCAAATATACGTATTTTATAACGGAATTACCTGCACTGTACAATTTTATCTGCCAGACTGTTTTAACTATTGTTGTACATATCTGTTAAAGGCTAAGTACAAATAGGCATTCACATGAATAGCCAGATCTATTTTTTGTTCCTAGAAGTACTGCTCTACAATCAAATTAAGCCTTTAATAATTGATTAGCATGTTTACTTAGCATATGACCAGTTCTTATACATCTTCTGAACTAACCTTATCCCATATAAGCTCAGCTCCATCACCTTTTTCAGCTAGGTGAACTCTTAGAGTTTCAACACTCTTTGAAAACAGACGTGCATAGCTCTTGACATCTAGAACCTGTTGGTCCTTCAGGCCTAAAGAGGAGTCATTCTGTTGATCAGACATGTTTTTCTCTTCAAAATGAAAGAAAAAGAAGTTAAGATTACAAATATTTAGGAATTTCATAGAAGTCTTCTTAAAGATGTCAGATTTGCCAATTTTAGTAAAATTGTACTCCATTTAGAAAACATGCAATTACAAACCACAAACTAGAGTGATTGAAATAGCTTATAACAAATCTGCACTTACTTCTGCATTTTCAAAAGCTAAATTGTAGTATATTCATATCAGTAAGACTGCTGAAAACTCAAAATTGCTGTAACTAATACAAACACAGAAGGGAGTCCGAAGACAATCTCAGTATGAGACATTTTTATTGTCAAGAATGAAGTATACTTTAAACAACACTTGATTGTTACAGCTGAGGATATATCAGTGTATTCTATGAGGCTTCACCTGAAGACGTGACATACAGTTTTTTAAAATGAGAACTACAGAATTGTGTACTTAAAACCTGAAATAGCAAATGCAAGTCAAATTTAGAAAGGCATTTTCATTCTCCATAGAAACAGCAAATCTTCAAAGAATTAAATAATGTCAAAAGCAATATTTTTAAATAGTTACAATGATATGTGAAGTACATACAGTTTTATATGGTTGAATTCTTAAGTATACCATGCAAGAACAAACAAAAAATGAAAGAGAAAAAAAAAAAAAGGAAAAAAGATTACCTTGATTCTGTACTTCAGTCCAGTCCAATGGTACAGGAGGTTTCCTTTTTTTCCACAGTTTATCCATTGTCAACAGATATCTAATATCATCTTTGAAAAGCTACAAAACAATATGAAAAATGAAAAGCAAAGTAAAGATATGTATCTTGTTTTACTTCATTTTTAAATCTACTTTAAGATTAAGAGTTTGTGTTTCTCTACCAGAGAGCACTTTCAGCCACAGTGATTACAATTATATAACAATTCCCCTCCTTCAAGAAGGCACAAAGGGGAAATAGATATTGAAAAGGTACTCTTAAAACATTAACTATTTTATGTAAAATAGAAATAAGCTGTGCTTAGCACCCAAAATATTTTATCATCCATGAAGTGTCAAGGGAATAGTGATACCACACAAACACACACTGAAGTAGTCATTGCAAGTATGGGCACGTGTGCTGAAGGGCATTTTTACCTATATGTCAACTTAAATAGTTGTCTAATTCTAAGGACCATGGTAACAGCCTGCACTGCTTAACATCACAGTCCTTATCATGCCTGTTCCTAACTTCTGTCCACTAGGTACAACCGTTTGGAGAGGGACTCTAAAACAGCATCTACATCTCTGTTCCTGGGACTGGTTGCACCCAGAGCACAAAGGAGAACCTTCCCATAAGCAGATGCCAGTCTGAGTATGTCAGAGGGGCTCCCACAGAGCTCAGAAATAGTTTTTGAATTTTTCCTCTTTAAAAATAACTAAATCAGCTGTAAATTTAACTACCATTTAGTCATTACTCTGGGAACAGAGGCAGCTGGTAACTGTCCCTCCACTGGAGCACAGGGAAAAGAGTATACATGGTAGGACCACAATGCTACAACAAAAACTACTGTCAGGGTATGTCTTCACTACCAACATTAAAGCGCTGCCGGCTTTGTAGTCGCTGCTGTAAAAAAAACCCACCCTCACAAGGGAAGTAGCTCCCAGCGCTGGTGCACTGTCTACACTGCCACTTTACAGCGCTGAAACTCGCATCACTCAGGGGGGTGTTTTTTCACATCCCTGAGTGAGAAAGTTTCAGCGCTGTTAAGACAAGGCCTCAGTGTCATATCAGGATTATTATTTTTCTTAAATAATCAGATTTGACTGCTAACTTAAAGCATCCAAGTTGAAAAATTTAGCTTAAGTTTATAATAATGCACACACTTCAAACAAAAATATATATTGGGAGCAAAACTACTACCTTAGTGAAAAGTTTAACTGGATCATATCCAGTTGATTTAGCCCATTCCTTAGTTGAAACACGTTTAATATCACCATCTTCATTAGATGCTCTTGCTCTGGCTTCTGCTTCTGTTGGCTCCCCTATAAAATAAAAGGTTGATTATGTTTTTGAATTTAAAAAAAGCAAGTTGTGACCCAAAATATTTTTCATCGTGGATAAACTAAAGCTATCCAGGGAATAGAACTGAACATTCACCTGTCTTTGAAGTATTCAGAGGTTTTTTCCCTCTGCAATCCGTTGGCCTATCAGAGAATCCAAAAGGAGAAGGGAAAGTAGACAGTTCTCAGGATTGTCTCTTAATAGACTAATATTAAATTGAGTATCATACAACTAGCTGTAAAACTGAATAGGACATTTTTATTAACACAACTGATAGACAATGAAGTGACTGATTTATGTCACTCACAGGCAGCTTCAGGATCAGCTCTGTCAGGGGATACTTCCTGATCAGCATCTTCTTCACCAAACAACTGACTATGTATTTAAAAAACAAAACACAAGATTATCATAAGATAATTGTTAAGTAAGTAGTTACTTATTTATACCTGTTTTTTTAAAGCCTGTCATAAAAAAATAGTGATAGATGCTTTAATTATCCCAGTCTATTCTACTTGACCATCACAGCTGTGTTAAATCTAGTATTTATATTCTGAGAAGCCACCACAGCAGAGGTAGGCAAACTATGGCCCGCAAGCCATTTTAAGCCAGCCCGTGAGCTCCCGCTGGGGAGCAGGGTCTGGGGCTTGCCCCACTCCGGTGCTCCAGCCGGAGAGCAGGATTGGGGGCCGCACCATGAGGCTCCCAGAAGCCGTGGCATGGCCCCTGTCCAGCTCCTACGGGAGCTGCAGGGGCGGTGCCTGCAGACGGGGCAGCGGGCAGCTACCTGGCCACACCTCCGCACAAGAGCCGGAGAAGGGACATGCTGCTGCTTCTGGGAGCTGCTTGAGGTAAGCCTGAACCCCTGAGCCTCTCCCCACACCCCAACCTCCTGCCCCAGCTCTGATCCCCCTCCCGCCTTCGGTCCCAACCCAGAGCACTCTCCTACACCCCAAACTACTCATCCCCAGCCCCAGCCAGAGCCCAACCCCTCCCCCCCCCGCCCTAGCCGGGAGCCCCCGCCCGCACCCTGAACTAATTTCTGGCCCCATCCCAGAGCCTTCACCCCCTCCCGCACCCCAACCCCAATTATGTGATCATTCATGGCGCACCATACAATTTCTATTCCCCGATGTGGCCCTTGGGCCAAAAAGTTTGCCCACCCCTGCGCCATAGGATAATTTCTCAGCGCTTCTATAGCATGGAAGTGTGATGTATATACCAAATTTATTTGGACCCCAAAAATGATGCACAAAATATTCTGAAAGGGAAGCATACTTTGATAAAAGAACAGACTAATTAAAAGTCAGCCATACACAGTGTGACAGTCGGTACCCCATATTCATTCCTTTTTCAAAACTATGACAAATTTTGCACAAAGTATGTCTCACGAGGTATCATTTGAAAACTCATAATTTGCTGATCATTATTGTCCAAGTACAATATGTGTGCCAACATTGTATATAAAGTTATAAGATTCTACTGAATGATGTTACTAAGACATTTTCCAAATCTGGGGAAGCAGTCACAAACCAATTCCTCAGAGACAAAAGGCAAACTGGCGCCTCAGCCAGGTGTCAACAAAATCAAATAGACCATCACCTGGTTAAATGGCCATTCTTTGGCAGGCAAAAGGGTGAGAGTGAGAAATTTACATGTTGGTAAAGGAACAACTGGAGGTTCCTGTCCCCACAGACTCTCTCTCTCTCCTGAATCTCAGCTGGAGATGATTCTCAAAGAGGAGGAAAAGGATAAGAATGAGGAACAGATGCCGCAAGTTGTTCCTTTCTCTCTCCCCACAGCAACCACAACACCTGAGGAATAAAAAAAACAGCTTTGGACTGAGGGGGGAATCCTGTCTGAAAGGAATTCTGCCAGTAAGACTGCCAGAACATGTGGTGTGGGGGGGAATCCTGTCTGAAAGGAATTCTGCCAGTAAGACTGCCAGAACATGTGGTGAGAGACACCTTTTGATTTGAATTCACTTACCTTGTTAAGTTAGGTATTAGTTTTGTTTTTACCTTTTATTTCTTTGTAAACAATTCTGACTTTTATGCCTCATTACTTGTAGTTACTTAAAATGTTTATTTCTATAATTAATAAACTTGTTTTATTATTTTATCTAAACCAGTATGTTTGAAGTGTTCAGGAAACTTCATTTGGGATAACAAGATTTGTGCATTTCATTTTCTGTTAATGAAATGATGGACTTTATATGAGCTTGTGTTGTCCAGGAGAGGGCACACTTCTGGGGAAAGTCTGGAACTGGGAAATTGCTGGTGTTGCTCTGAAGTGTAATTCAAGAGCGGCTGGCCATAGCACTCATACAATATAGCTGGGAGTAATTTACATGCTGGAGGCTGTGTGTGGGCAGACCAGGAGTGATTGCTCTCACAGCGAAGCAGGGTAAAAGGCACCCAGGTTGGAGAATTGAGGGGACACAGCTGTTAAACAGTTCAGATTGTACCCTGGGTAATGTCACACACAGTTATAGGGCAAGAAAACAAAATGCCCATAGTCTGCACTTCTATAGAGCTGATATAAAGTGAAGAATGGAATTCCAAATGGAATGTTCTTACAAACATGGACTGAGACATTAACTAGCCTCATCCTGCAGTAGAGCTATTTATCTTTCCCATGAACAGAAAAATTCCAGAATAAAAAAGTTCATCTCATGGCAATTTTGTTTTAAGGCTGCATGACCTAACCTCTTGAAGGAACACCAAGACCTATGACTGGGAACTTATATTTGAAACAAACGGCAAGAAACTATCAAAAACCACCTCTATCTCTTTATTCTGGCTCAACAGGAAGCTAGACTCATCTATCATGTAATGCAGTTTATAACTGAAAACAAACTAAGGCACAGAAGGAGTTAGTATTCGTTGCCTTTCAAATGTCTGTCAAGAGGGTACTGTCTTTAATACATTTCCCTCAAAGCTTATGATCTTTACGGCTATCAACCAGTCAACATGAAAGGAAGAGAAAACTTTTGTAATAATAAATCTCCAGCTCAGAAATTTAGTCCTGAGGTCATACTGAGATCTTGCAAGTAACATCTAATCTTAAATTATGTTATTTTCAGCAAGACAACACAAAGCTAAATGGCACCGTTGTTTCCTAAATGGAAACAAATGAGCTGTAAAGCCAAGTTTCTCTTAAATTACCTCCTCATTTATATAACTCCAACAATACTGTGTCTATCCCTTTTATTTATACTGAAGTAAGCTGATGCCTCTAAAAAGGCAGCAAATTTCTTCAATCAATAAAGTAATTATGGTAGCAAATATGCCTTGGCTTCCCACAAAACACGATTTATAATGAAGCAATAGGCAAACACACCTCCAATCAACTCATATCAATGTGCCTGAGAAATTTTTTTGCCAGTTTCTCTTTGTGATACTAGAATATCAGTCTGTTTTTAGAGTCTGTTCTATCATTACGTGAAACAGATTGGGCAAGTTATCAGTAGGTTTTCAGTGCATTCCTCAAAAGTGGTAGAAGTTTGGAAAAGAAAAAAGGATACAGTAAAGTAATTTTTAATTTGCCTATTTTAATTTTTTTGTTGCTGGAGATACATTTAGAAATTAGAAAACAGTGTGCAGTGTGATAGCTATTTTCTTAAAATATGTTTACTTACTTGAACAAATACTTTGCCCACACAATGCAGTGGATAGGTTCTGATGGAGTGTTGCGAATTGTGCAGCCTGGAAAAGTCTTCTGAGTTGGTTTAGGATGACATTCATAACACTCTGTCACTCCCTATAGATTCAGGCAAAGATAACTATTTCCGTAAGTCACACTGTGATGGCTATTGTTATGGTATTCATCATTAAAAAATGACAATGTTAGCAATATCTCGATAAATATAAAGGACATTATCCAGCCTATGCTGTCCAAAAGAATCAATGAATCAAACAACAACAAAACATTATACCAACTAACCTTTTTGATAACTGTTACTTGTCCAAGGTAGCCTGCAGTTCCACTTTCTATAAGAGGAACATCAGCAGCCAGACACATCCTGTTCACATGGTTACGTGCAGCTGGAAGAGAAAGCATTCAGGATTAATTTGAATATTAACTAAAAAAGAATGTTTGACTTTGGAAAGGCTGGAGACCAGCCTTCTGCATAATATATATCTGCATCTACCCCTTTTCATTATACACACCACCGTGCCTCTCTCATAACACCAATCTTTCAGTTAGTACAATACATTAACAGCTGTTTTTAATATAGAAACCTCCAACTAAAATGTAGTTATGTATATACATCAAGTGGACCTTCCTACCATGGGGGACACACTTTTAATTCTTAGCACTTACTATATACACCGCTGTTCATTTTCAAAGTCCAAACTGTACAAACATGAAGTATACGTTAAAGCCGCCCTAGTGAAGTAGGTAAGCAGTAGCCTCATTTTGCAGGTGGCGAAACAAAGCCAGAGCCTGAGTGACTTACCTGAGGCTGCAAAGAGCATTAATGTCAGAATTTACATCAGATTTCCGTAATTGTTAGCTTCTACACTTTTATGTGCAGTTCACATTTATTTCATCTCAGAAATAAAGCCATAAAAAAGTAGAAACCTCACCTCTGTTATCCAAAGCATTCATAACCAATGTAAACTGCCGGAAGAATTCTACATTATAGTCAGGGCTGTAGAAAAGAAAAAATATTAAAACCAGCTTACTAAATGGCTTTTGGTTATTATGGCACAGCAGAAATTCTACACACAAACAATGTAAGCAGAAATGATATCCATGTGATAAATTGCACAGACATAAGCTAAGTTTACCACTCACCTTTAACTACTTCACCTGTCCTCTGCCCAATTTAAAGTCTCATATTCCTCAACCCTGCAGGGCTAGGAATGGGAACATTATACTACTGAAAAGAAGCTATTCCAAGCTTCCCTACTGGACTCAGAAGCCCAAAACAGTGGACTTTAAAGATATGACTTTTTTATTTAAAAATGCTATTAGTTATAAGTTATTTTGGAAGGGTTTTTTTTTTTCTAAATTTGGTTTTAATTTCTCTCCGAGATATGGTATTATTACTCAAAGTTCTTAAACACACAGAAACTTTTAGAAATGTTTAGAATAATATACATAGAATATAATAGAATAATATACATACAAACACAATATATGCACAAACAAAATACATAACCACCAACTGTTAAAAATAAAGAACTACTTTTACTGAACAGCATTATTTATTACCTCTCCTATTATTACTGACAATTAGTCTATAAAATTGTCTGGTGGAAAATGTCCTTTGTAGTTACACTTAAAAAAAAAAAAATCACACCCATGATCCAAAGCAGGGTGAAAATTCTCCTTTTAAGTTCTGGAGTTGTAGTTAACTCACCAATAGTATTTCCAGAACTGTGCAAATTTCTGCCAATATTGACCATTATAATTCACACAAAAATCTTTTCAGCCACACTGGGGAAGAATGCACTACATATCCCCCAAGTCCCCATTTAATAGCTATGAAAAAACTTGTAATCAGAAAGCACGATGTGCATATAAATTCCACTGGAAAAAGGGGGGGGGGGGAAATGTTAATGTCTGGTAGTGAAAGAGGCAAATTTAATATGCAAAGAATTTTTCCAAATGCTGAAGGGTTTTACAACTAATAAAGGGAAAGCAAAACAAAAAGTGAACTATAAAAATTTATTTGACTGCATCTTTTAATTCGCATTTTAACTTTCTAAATCAAATACTGTAGCGATGTTGATTTAGTAAAAGTTATAACATTAACTATTAACCCGTTTATAACGTTTGTAACCCAATTAGAAAAAAATTCCATATTTTTTTTAAAAGGCAGGGAAAAGGGGCTGATGGGAGAAGAGAAGTATATTCTGGAAAATACATTTAATGGATTTAAAATTTTAGGAATGAAGAAAAAGGGTGAAGCTAATAAAGATTTAAATGCCTGTGTGTCAACAATTAACATTAACACAACGTAAAACGTGGTATTGAAGGAACTGGAAAAACACAAATGAAACGATTAGAATTATTCCAGCTTGTGGAAAGATATATTTTGTACTGTATTGATCTAGTACATTAAAGACGTTAACTGTTAACTAGATTTTTAAATATGGTTAACTGTTGACACACAGAGTTAGGGTCAAATTATGATTTTAAGAGTGTTTCACATGTATAAGAGTAGAATATGCAAATGTATTAATCTCCACGCATGTTATAGTGTCTTCTGGTTTTTAAGAACTCAACATACTTTTAAAAAATATTCAAATTACACATCTATCCATTTAGTACATGAGGCCCAAGCAGAATTCAATGTTCTAGAGCAGTGTTTCTCAATGACCTGTCTGAGGACTGGCGTCGGTCTGACACAGTGTAGGAAGGCAGAAAGCTGGTCCCTGGTATCAAAAAGGCTGAGTAACACTGTTCTAGAAAACTTCCACAATGGTTGAAAAAAGGAGAAATTGGATACAAATATTTGAATAAATATCATTAAAAGAAAATTCATAAGTTCATGCCCAAACTCAAGTCATTCAGTTTGCTGTAGCCTCACATTTATAGCTAATTTTTTCAATATTTAGTAATTTTATAAAATCTCCTCCTTAAAACTGCGTGTTTATATATATATATATATGAATGAAATTCCCAATAATAAGAGTATTTAAATAAAATTTAAGACAAACATACTTCATGATACTGTCATGATAAGCTATAATATTAGCTTCTGGGTAAAACTGTAACACGCTTTCCTTGGCAACCTGGAAAAGAACAAACAATTGGTAGTCCAATGTTTCTTCCTTACATTCAAGATCCAACAAATCTGCAACATTATGCATTAATACTGAGGTTTAATTTTTTAAAATGAAGAAATACTGTATCAACTAATACTTACTCCATCAATTATTTTAGAAAGCAGAAAAGAATATTACAAGCTATATATGAATCATACATTTTCAACATTGATTCAGTATGTACAATAACTATTTTAACATTACATTCATAATAGGAAAGATGTTTATTATATTCATTAGAAAAAGGTAAGTTTTCAAAATTTTATCCTTACCTGTGCTTTTGACCTCCCAACATGTTTCTTTTGAAACAAAAACTGCCTGTTTAGGTTGCTGACATCAATAGTATCCAGATCAATCTATAAGTACATAAGAGGCAGCCGTTTCACATTTACAAACTAAACAGATCAAAAGCAGCGTATGTAACATTAAAATAGAGTAGTTCTTCATGCTATCTTCAGAGAGCACAATTTTCAGATCCACTGCAGTTTATCAAGTAAAGTGCAGAAGTGAAAGTTCTTAAATCAATATTAACTCAGTCACATTCAGGTATGCAGTAGCTTCTATTTCTCTTTTTCCAGATGAATGTGTATCTTAGTATATTTCAGTTTACATCGTGACACAGTAGCCTTCACTACAGTCTAATACAGGGATTACACAAACTAGTTCTGCATATCAAAAACTGATCACATTTGAACTGTTTTGAAAAACTGAGTTAGATGAAAATGCTGACCATAACTTAGCAATCAGTGTAGAGGACTAATCATGTTTAGCGCTGTCACCTAACTTGATCGATCAAAATTATGTTCAACAATAAAATTTTGTTAGACAAACCTGCTGACATCAATGCCTACTCATGCCATGAGGCAGATTAAAAATATATGCCACAAAATATCCAAAATGTGCAACATGCCCAAAATGACACTGTCCTAATTCCTAAGAACCCTTACATTTCATTTTACTGATATTGGACAAAAATAATTTTTGTAAAATAACAAAAGTATTTTGCACAATAATTATAGCTTTGCTCTCATTCTCCTTGTCTATTCCTCAGCCCCTTTCTCCACAGTCAAATTTTGATAACACTCTCAAACTGCTGTCAAAAAGAGAGAGAGAAGAGTAAAGGGAACAAAACTAGGGACCTGATCAAATCCCTACTTATGCTAATAGAGTTGGACAGAGGCCTAAAACAGGCGCACAAGCAAAATACTAAACATGCCAGTGGAAAATTTACCTAGCTTATAACCCTTGATTTTCCAAGGCAGCCACAGCAATCTTTGGAACAAAAGTACTTGATATTTTTTAACAAGAGTCCAGTAATAACAAGGTGAGGAAAACACGAAAAATGCCTCACAATGAAGAAAAATGTTGATCTTTTCCTCTTTGCTAGGTTTGGTTCACTGGCACAATATTAATGTTAACTCCATCCGGAACATACTGAAATAAATGGGACTGCTTGTGGAATAACATGGCCATGGGTCTGGAAACCAGTTGCCAAATATCAAAACCTGATTTCAGATAAAAGTTCCTAATTTGGTTTGTTAAGCACGTTTGGACATGAACAAAACTTCTCAGAACTAAACTTAAAATCTGTGTTTTCCACACATTTTCAAACTTTGTTTATGGCCAAATGCAGACAGGTCAAAACAGTGATGGATATAAAACAGGTGCCTAACATACCTGCTAAATTTATAATTTGCCTTTTTAAAAAAGTTTCTTCACAACTGCATTACATGATAGTAATGAATTAAGAGCTGAAAACCAGGTTTATTTGGAGACATTAATTTTCTGCCCAAAGTTCTAATAGTCTTTTTTTTTCCCCTCTCCTTTTTGCCCCTTCTTCTATACTCCTGTTTAGAGATTAGCATCAGGAAACAAAAGTGAAAGCAACAGCCTGAAGGAAGTATCAGAATTGGACTTTCAAGACTGACAGTTTTACAACTCAGTATCTAAAAATACAATTTCACCACCCACATATTTCGCTTTTAGTGTCACCCAGCAGACAACAGCAGCAGTCTGTTCAAGATATTAACATCTCTACTAAGAGACAGCAAGCATTAAGCAAAAATGAACACCGACGTTTTGTTAAGATTTTAAGGGGGCAGCTGAAAAGAGGCAAACATGATATGCTATTTCCCACATGGGTTTCTGTCTACTAGCTTTCGGAGAAGTGACGCTTCTACTTCGCATGTGACTGTACAATCCCTGTGGGGGGAAGACAGACAGCGGTGCCTTCCCATGCAGATGTTATTAGTGAATTCTCAGAGAACACATGTGAATTCCTGGAGAGCGAGAGATCTCACTCTAGTCTACAGTATTTTCTGGACAGCCAATCCCTACAGCACGCACAGCGCACACCATCGTTACACTGGGTTTGATATTGGGGGTCCCCGGGCTTGGAACTTTATTTATTTTCTGTCAGGGTTTGTTTTCACACAAGCGGTAAGTACTCCCCATCCGCCCAACGCAGGCCATCCCCCGTCAGCCCTGCCAAGCCAGCTCCCACCTCTCCCCCCACTGTAACCTCTTCTCCCTCCAGCCCCGGAGGCCCATGCGCAGGGGGCCCTGCGGGGCGGTGCAGCCCCTCCCTAGTGCCTGCAGCTTTGGCGGGTAGGAGCAGTTTGAAAACACACAATGAGGGGGGGAGGGGAGCACGGCGCACACTCCCGGGAGCTGCTGCCCGCCCCCCGCGACCTGCTTCCACCCCCGCAAAGCGGGCCGGGCTCGGCTCCCTCCGATCCGCTTTCCTCAAGCCCGTATCCACTCCCCGGCCCCGGCCCCCTCTCCCCGCCCGGCGGTCGCTCCGGCCCCGGGCCGCACCACGTCGATGTTGTTGAAGCCGGTGAGCACCAAATCTTTGAGCAGCTCGCAGCCGATGCCGCCGGCTCCCACCACCAGCAGCCGAGCCCCGGACACGGCCTCCGCCAGCTCCCTGCGCAGGGCTCCCGACACCGGCACGGACATGGCGAGGGGGAGGCAGCGCGCGGGCGGGCAGCGATTCCGCGCGTCTCTCCTCAGCGCCGGGCCGCGCTCGGGACAACGACGAGCCGCAGCCCACACTGAAGCAGCCTCCGCTGCCTGTAACTGTGGCAGCGCCCCCTGCCGGCGGGGAGGAGAACGGGCCGCTCCGAACGCCAGGCGCCGATAGCGAACGCGCCTAGCGTGGCTTGACGCCAAGTGGCGACAGCGGCGGGTGGAGATGCAGAAGAGCCGGGTTCAGTTTCTGTCTTGTACACAAGTCTACTCTAGCGAAGAGCTCAGAAAAATGGCTCCTGGTGGGCTTGGGTCACGTGCTGTTGAGGGCGACAACGGCTTCCGCCCTCTGCCAGCTGGGATCCAGTGGCTGTAGTCCTGTCCTCCCCACCAATTGTGTCTTCACTGCAAAAACACAGATTGGGCAGGATTGCTATCGTGCTGTGAAAACCGCCTCATCTGAAGTGTAAGCAGAGGGGGTTCTATTGCTTTTTGATCTCATCTACATGGTGCCTACTCCATCTAGATTAAAAAATCTTTTCATTTGTAATCATAGCTTAGCAATGCTTATCTACAAAGGAATAATGTTTTAGCTTGTTTTTAAAATGTGTTAGCCTTAGAGGCACAGCTTAGCTTCACTTCTACGTGCTAAATACAAACGCAATGTGTGCTATCTGTACTAGAAGCTTCCCATACAAAAACGTTTGTGTGTAAATGGGTTGGGACTCAAACTTCTTATATCCCTGTTTTCACAATCAAGCCCATACCTAACCCCTACTGTGCTCTTTGTTAATGTTTCTTAACAAAGCTCAATGCAAGGAGAGGTCGTGCATCTGGAACTCAGTGTTAGAATCACAGCAGAAATTCATAAATAGACCCTCATCATCCTTAGTGCAGTAGTCAGAGTAAGAGATTTTTGGATCACAAACTGCATATTCACTTAATGCCAACTGAAGATAAAGAAATGCAATTGAAATGCCTGTATTTTATACTTAATCTGACTAAAAGAAGAACAGGAGTACTTGTGGCACCTTAGCGACTAACAAATTTAATCTGACTAGTATATAGAACCCTACAGAAGGGGTCAACTTTTCCTGATGAACAGTTGCAGGACTCTAGAATGCTGCCTAGCTAACATAAGCCAAACAAAATAAAGCTAGAGCAAGTGTAATAAGAACAACCTTCCTCCTTTCCCTCCCATCCCTAACAGTTTCAAAGTAGTCATAGTGACTAGCTAGAATATGTACTACTAAATCACTATACAAAATTGTGTACATAAGCAAAAGTAGCAAATCTTGTACATGTACCAAGTGTATTAATATTCACTTCCCAGCACAGCAGTTTTGGAGTTGTCTTTGTAAGAATTACTAAAAACCCACACTACCACGTGACTTCAAAATGTCATATTTTGGTGACATTTTGCTGCACAAATACTTTCATTTTACTCAAATAAAAACTGTATTATTTTCTTGAACTAAGTCTTTTATTTAAATAATTGCTGATCTGGATCTTCTTGTATAAAAATAAATTCCTCCAAGGGGTTCTGATGATTAGCTGGCCAACAGCTTCTTTCACATGTGTAAACTATGACTGTTCCAAATTCCACTGACAGATCTGAAAAAAGTAATATTTAAGAGTTTACAACATGTAGTGTATTAGTGGTTAACATATTAAAAGGCAGCTGTTTATAACTGCATTCACAAAAATGTATAAGCAATATGCAACAAATAGCTATTTACATACCTAACTGGCCATTTGTTCATGTGCAGTTCTAAAAATACAGCCCTTTCTCCACAGGTAATTAAAATATCTATTTAGAGTGGAGCAGATAGGTAGACTGGTACAATTTTAAACAACTGTGGGATGCTAATTAGTGTCCCAATCTGGCAAACACTTATGCACATGCTCCACTAAGCACGTGAGAAGTCCTAATGACTTAATTATAAATGTCTTGTAAGCATATGATGGGGTAAGGGGGCACTGGCAGTAGCTAGGCCAGTGGACTACTCACATGCCTAAAGGTAAGCAAATGTGTAAATGTTTACGGGATACTGGGCTTAATTGAGTGCTAAGTTTCTGGACCCTAAAAGGTTCCATTTAAACTTAGAAGTTCTTTGACATTATTTAAAAAAAAATTATTATTATTATCTAAAACTCATATTCCACTTCATTAATTCAGGATTTCAAATACTAATGACAGGCTGAGAGATATTATTAATTCAGTATCTAAAGGAAAGTTGGACCCCAGAAGCCCAAGAAGGTTTGGTTAAAATGGACTTATGTCTAAGGAAAAAACTACGGTATATAGTTTCGGTTATACCTGTTTGTCTTCTATGCTGCAGAAATGTTCCATTGCTTCATAAAACTTAATTTGAATGTTAATCATTCTGTAATACATATATAATTACAAAGTCTCTCTCCTATCAGATGCCTCTAAAATATAATTATTTTCTAATGTGAGAATATACATTTCATTATCCATCTCATGTACAAAACAGCATACAGTAATTTAGAAATGAGATTTCTTCATCAGTTACAATACAAAAAATTACTGTAATAGTTATAAAATTCAGATGGAAGTGTGATTTTTTTTTAAATTGTCAATCCTTTAAATGAAATTCACAAAGAATTTTAAGCAGGCCTCGGGCATACTACCTTAAAATTTACTCCACTTTTTAAAAAAAGACAATGGGTCAAATTCTGTTCTCTCACATTTGTATCAACCACTGTGGCTTCATTGAGGTTGAATGGGTATAAACACAAAGAATATAGTTCAGTATGTATTTGGAAAAAAAATCACAATCCAATTTGTCTGGAACATCTTTACCATAATCCACAGTGTAGAACAGGGGTCGGCAACGTTCGGCACGCGGCTCGCCAGGATAAGCACCCTAGCGGGCCGGGCCAGTTTATTTACCTGCTGACGCGGCAGGTTCGGCCAATCGCGGCCCCCACTCGCTGCGGTTAGCCGTCCTGAGCACATCCCTCGGCCCGCGCCGCTTCCCGCCGCCCCCATTGGCCTGGGACGGCGAACCGCGGCGAGTGGGGGCCGCGATCGTCCGAACCTGCCGCGTCAGTAGGTAAATAAACTGGCCTGGCCCGCTAGGGTGCTTACCCTGGCAAACCGCGTGCCGAACGTTGCTGACCCCTGGTGTAGAAGGTTGGTTTCAATGAAGCCTAAATGATCAGTGTTCTGAACTATATTTTGATATAAATACATAATAATCATGGTTTTGTTTAGTAACTAAACTCTCCTCACCTCAAATACTGTTAACTTTTAGGGCTTGTCTACACTTGCTGTGCTGCTGTAGAGTTTAGTGAAGATGCTACCTATGGTGACGGAAGAGTTTCTCCTGTCAGTGTAGGTACTCCACGTCCTTGAGAAGCAGTAGCTATATTGATGGGAGAAGCCCTCCCAGGGACATAGCACTGTATACACTGGGAGTTTGGTTAGCATTACTGTTGCTCTGGGATGTGGATTTTCCACACCCTGGAGTGACATAGTTATACCAACACAAGTTAGTAGTGTAGATTAGGGTTTAATCTCCTAAGTAAACATGGAGTACTTTGTCACTTCAAGGTTTTAAAGAAAACCTCGAGATTTTTAAACAAACAAAATAAAGCTGCTTGTATGTGGCTGCAGTCTTGTTTGTGATGAAACAGAATTTTAACATATTTATTCAGTTCTCAAGTCTTCAGTTTGGACTAGTATTACAAGTTAATTACTAAGCAGGGACCAGGAATTTTCTTGACTTCTCTTATTGGAAAGGCACTAAGGAAAATATGAGGCTTTGATCAAACAGTCCCAGTAAATAGGAACAAACAGGAATGGGAATGTTGCTTCTCATTAAAAGGAAACTGAACAGCTAAAATTGAACAACAGTGAGTCTTGTACAAGATGCTGTCCTCACAAGACCCCAGAAGCATTGAGTACAACCTAACCAAAGGCTACCTCCAATATTAGTTGGCTTATTGATTGGCTTAATGGTATTAAAAATAGTTATTTCATTCACTGTGTACATTCTGCAAGAAGCAGCCTAAATTCCAGGCCACTATAATCATAAATCAACCAGCAGATTGACTAGTATTCAGTTAAAGCAACGAAAGATTTAACCTGCATCAACACTCTTCAGCATGCTGACCAGTGCTGGCATAAGTTGAAATTCAAAGACTCTGTTACTTCCACAGCTGTTGCAGACTGGAACCATTTTATTAATGTTGGATGAAGGACATGTTATAAATAAAGGCTGGCCACCCCAGGAGTATCTAGAGAAGAAAAAGACCCCTTATTTACATTTTTTGCAACTAAATCTCATTGACAAAGACACGTGACAATGTCACATTAGCTTCTAAATCTAAGAAGCTGCTTGCCATACAAATAGGCAAAGATTCGGATTCCTGCTGATGCCCTAACTTTTAGAAGTATTCATCCATTATTCACAAAGGTTAAAAGTGAGGGAAAGACTTAGAGGGTCATAAGAGAGAGCTGGATGCGATAAACAATGCAGCCTCCCAATATTTAAAAGAAGACAGAAGCCACTGACTGATGCCTATAAGATGTGCAGTACCCTCAACTCTCCCTAAATGCAGTCGTGCAATTCCAGTTAATTGGGAACAGAGGGCTCTTAACATCTTGCAATAGTGTGGTCCATTACAGTAAAGCACAACATTTCTGGTACAACAGAACCCTCATCTCCCAAGAGGCCAAGAACCACTGTTAAAAGGTAGCTTCTGCTTCAATGCAACATGTGGGATACCGTTCTGCACCTCTGAGAAGCACACCACAGAAATCATAGTCCAAAGGTAATGAAACTAAGGTGCACCTCTCCATTTCTGGGCTGCTCTGGGGCCTGGGATGGAGTTACAACACCTGATTATCAGCTGTCTATGGACAGCACTGCTGCTCAGGATCGCCAATGATCTGTGTACTAAGGTTTCCACCACAAGCCCTGTTCCTCACACACACGCCAGAGTCTCAGTGGTTGTCTTTGTCGGTCTTCCTCAGTTCTCCCTTGACCAAATCCAGGGCTCTTTGCTCCTCCAACCATTTTTACTGACATAAAGCGGTCAGAACAGGGGGTGAGACTCTCACCTGTTCTGAACACGGTTTGTTTTTGTCATCTATTACTGTATCACACATACCACATTTAACAACTCTTACAACATTAAAATAAATTTTAAAAACATTATATTTTCAGTGATGTCAAATCAAAGACTTGTTCATTCTCCGACACAAATGACTGACATTACATCCCACCAAAAACATGTTTAGATTATCAAAATACCTTAGAATTTGTTCATGACAGGCAGAAATTCTCTTCATAAATTTATGGAACACGTGGTCCCTATTTTTGACTTCACTCTTTTCATACTTCTCATTATCACCTTCACCAACAAAACTAGACAAATAAGGGGGAAATTTTGCCAGTAAGGTGCACAGTACAGTATACGTGTTCAAAAATAAGTATGGTTACTCTGGGGAAAAACAACACACTTTTGAAGTTTCTTGTTATATTACCCATAATGAAATGACACTTGTTTCTTAAATTAGAGGCAACCCTTTATTAAAGTGTAATTGATCAGTTTGGTCCTGATTCATAGATATTCACTGGCTCACAATCATTAAAGCTATTTCTAACTAACCTGTAATATAATGCATGAAATAAAATCCACCACATATTTGTTTATATCTACTGTCATTCCCTTCTGTGATCTCTCAAAGCCCTTCCAGTTTTTAATTTTGGTGTTGTTTTTATTTATTGCCAATACAAAATTGTAAGTCCTCTAACATACGGGTCCATTCAACTGAACGGGAAAATTACTTCAGAGAAGCACGTATGGATATCCTGCAAGTGATATGATCTTTCATACTTAAGTACCAGATTGAGCTCCCTCTTTTCTGTTGCGGAAGACTATTTTACATTCTAACAGAGTGGCAATTGTTCCTGTATAAGTGGTCAACTACACAAGTGTTCTAGCAGCATACAATAACTCTAATGTCCAAAATCTATTTTTCAGACAACTTCCTTCATAAAGTCTCTATGGGTCCATCTCTCATAGTCATCCAATCCCCCTACTCAAATCCACAGGAAAAGGAAGTTTCAATACTAATCTAGAGAACTACGAGTATACTGGACATAATCCATACATCAAACATAATTAATTGTTAATATATAATTAAGATAGCATAAAATTGACTGATGCTCTAATGTTTTAGACCTTGAATAGTGATTTAGCTAATTTTGAAGAGGTCAGCAGACAGGAGTTTATCAAATGGTCTTCATTTAACAGCGCAGACTATAAGCCTATTCTCACCTTTCTGACATCAACAGTTCCAAATCAACGCCCTCCCTCTGTTGATATTCCTTTAAAAGTTTGTGTGCATGATCTGTATCAAGGTAGTCAGTGTAGTCTTCCTCATCCACAACACTGATATAGTAGGACTGGAATCTGGGACAAGAGGTAGGCATTACT